CCATCTTATTACACCATCTTTCCTACTCCCATATCTACTTATTTTAAAAGAATGAGTGAGACTTCATGTTTCTAGGTGAAGGTTAAAAGTTCTAATTGAAAGTGACTACAAAAGGAAATAGTTTTGCCAAATAAGATCTCAGTGTAATTTTATGTATCCCTGTGTAATTTAGCATCATTTTTGTTCTTCAGAGTGCCTCCACACATGGTTTATTTAAATATTCTAATTGGACAAGGAAATATATTGGTAGTTCATCCCTGTCAAGTCAACACTCAAAATACTAACTAAAAAGAGCTTCAGGAAAGTAGACCAAATAGGATGGATAATGTCTCAGTTAAGATTAAGTAGGTTACTTATCAATTACAAAAATCACAAAGTAACAGTGGCTTAACCAAGATAGAGGTTAATTTCTGATCAGACACAAAAATTTTGTAGGACAGTATCAATAAGAGAGGCTAATAGTTTTTATTTAGTAGGAACATTTACCTTACAAAACAATTGAGGGCTCCAAGGCTAAGGAAGAAGTAGTATCTATTGGGAGACAGTTATTAATATCTGTGCAATCAGTAAGAGACAATCTCTTACATAAAATTCCTCTCATATAGAAAGCAGCATTTGTATGGTGTTTAAGAAGTCAAAATGCATTTGTTTATATCCAGGCTTTCTACTTTCTAGCTCTGTGACCCTGAACAAGTCACTTAATTTTTCTCTTTGTGCCTTGTTATTTTCACAATAAGAAAAAGAAAGGTTTTTAATAGAGGGTTAAATTAGTACAAGTAATTGGTAAGAGTATTAAATAAGGTAATCTAAGTAATTGACTAAACCAGTTGCCTGGTGTATGTAAGCCATAATTATTAGTTTTGTTGGTGTTTGCCTTTACATAGTGTGTTTTCCCATCATCAGTGTGTGACAGTGTGCTTGGAATATTGCCAATCTTGATAAACTCACCTAATCCTCAGGGTCCAGAATTTTTACGGGGGCTTTGTTCTGTAGACAATATTGTTTTCTTGTCTAAATTGTTGAACTCAGTCTCTGGATGAACTATGTGACCCAGAGCTTTCGCCCAAAGTTACATTGTTGGTGTTTCTGTCAGAGCTGTCTTCTATCCTAAGACTGTCAGGTGAGGCCAATCCCACTGTGGATAGACAGAGATACTTTATCACATTTGGCAGATTACTTCCCAGAAACCAAAGAAAATGGCCAAACTTTAATTTGGGGAGGGACAGATTCTTTACTACACAGGCAGATAAAAGCACTGATGAAAAAGAAAATAAGAGATGTTTACAGATGAATCTGTTGAAGTTTGTTATTGTTTGGATATAAGGTGTCCCCCCAAAGCTCCTATTGATACAGGAATATACAGAGATGAAATGATTAGACTATGAGAGCTATGACCTAATCATTCAATCCTAGTTTGAATGGACTGACTGGGTGGTAACTGTAGATAGGTGGGGCACAGCTGGAGGAAGTGGGTTACTGGGGAATGCCCTGGAAGGGATGTTCTTCTCTGTGGCCACTTATACCTCCCCTCCACCCCCATGTCTTGACCTCACTATGAGCTGAGCAGCTTTCCTTTGATGGGCCCTACCCCATGACATGCTGCCTCACCTTGGGCCCAGAGCAATGGAGTTGGCCATTGTGGACTGAGAGCTTTGAAACTGTGAGCCCCAAATGAATTTTTCCCCCTCACAGTTGTTCTTGTCAGGTATTTTGGTCATAGTGATGCAAAAGCTGGTTAAAACAAAGTTGTCAAAGTTAAAAATCTGGAAAAGAAAGATAATCTAAGTGAAATAAAGGTTCAAAAGAAATGACCCACCAGGCATGGTGGCAAAAGCCTGTAATCCTGGCTACTCAGTTGGCCCAGTCAGGAGGAGCTCAAGTTTGAGTCTTACTTGAAAAACAGTAAGATCTTATCTCAGAATTCAAAAAAAGGGAAAAAGGACTGACCGGTACCCCTGGGTTTCATTCCTAGTACCATCAAGAAGAAGAAGAGAAAAGGGGTGACCCAATTGATGATCTAGAAATTGGCTGTTGAAATGAAATTTGAGGAGCCAGTTGAATGAAGATCAAAATGAAAATAAATTTTTGCAGTATATAATAATACTAATTATAATGTACTATTTATTAAAAAAAACAGAAAGAGTTTGAATGTTTTCATCATAAAGAAATGATTAGTATTTGAGGAGATAGGTTTACTCTGATCTGATTAGTGCACAATGTATACACATGTAGAAACAATGAAACATCACATGGTGTCTAATAAATGGGTATAACTTTAATATATTAGCTAGAAATGTTTTAGTGCCACTAAGTGGTTATTTAGAAAAATACTGTTATGGAAGAAAGGAAATAAAGTGCTTTCTTTCCTGTGACAGTTGGAAGGTTTGCTGTCATCCCTTGTATTTTGGAGGAGAGGTTAGAAGGAGGGTTGAAATAATTAATGACTTAATGTGTGTATAGAATATTACCATTTACTGAGCTCATTTAGTTACCTTGGATCTCCTAGGTCAGTGGATCCAATGTAAGTGAAAGTAATTAGTAAAAAGCACTATTTAAAAGTGATATAGTCAGGGTAGTATCATCTGTTTTCTTGTCTCTATTGATGAAGGTCCTGATCTTGAAGGTTTTTTTTTTTTTTAGTGGTTATGCCAGATTGCAGAGTGAGTTGGTAGGGCTGAAGCTAAAATGTTTGTCTCCTGACTTTGGGTTAAGTAAAATCCCCCCAGGCCCTTTAATTACAAAATGATTCTTTTTGGATACAGTTCTCAGGAGTTCTAATTGAATTCCTGAAATTCTGCATTTCCTCTTAAGTACTAGGTGATTGGTCTTTGAACTCTAGTTGATGTTGGGTTTTCTGAAATGGTGAGTATGCTTTCTAAACTCTTAAATAAGTAGTGCTTTTTGAGGGACAAGTGCAAATGCATTTATAGATGGTTTAGATTTTCAACAGGTCTTTGAATAAAACTCTTCACAATATTTCAGTAGTACAAGTTCTGATGGAAAAGTTAAACTGTCAGTTCAATAAAGTGAGATAATATGACTGGAGCTTGTTTCTAGAACATTAAAATTTAATTTTTTTATTTCTACAAAAGTTATATAATTTTTAACACATGTTGCTATTAAGTGTACTTCTTGTGGAGGAACAATTGATTCTAGCATTAACATTTAGTTAATAAAAATAATAAATAGGAAGCTATCACATGGCGGTGTTATTAACACCTAAATGTTACCATATTACCATGTCATGAATTTTAATATGTATTTGAGGGTGCATTTGGATTGCTTACCCTGAAGTCAGATTTTCTATGTATAGCTCTTGATCATTTATAGCCTTATGGTGGTCCATAAATGTTTATCTCATAATCACTTTAGATGAGGGTCTTGAAATCTGTGTTTGTTTGTATTTAATATTTTTGAGTGCCTATTATATTCCAGGTATTAGACTAGATATTGAGGGATACATAAGTAGAGGGCACATTATATAGAATTTTTTAATAGGCCAGAATATAATTCCTAAGGATAAGGGATGAGAGAATGATATAATCAGTATAATTTCAGAAAGTTCATTAGTTCTGTCATGTAGATTGGCAGAAAAGTGAGTGTTGGGTACTGGAATCAACTATTCCGCTTTGGATTGTGAATTGGAGACCTCAGGTAAGGCAGTTAGATATACTGTTTTGGAGCCTGGGTTAAAAGTCAGATTTGAATAATACTGCTTTTATTATCTGCATATTACCTTTGAGTTCTTACTAACATGTGTACCTTAAAATATGTGTAACTATAACCACAACTTCTGAAATAGTAATTTTTTTTATATTTCTTTTGAAGCTGTTAGTCTGTGAAAGAAGACTATGGTTCAGGAGTTAGTCTCTGTTCTTGTATGATGTGGTTCAGGCCTTGAAGGAGGACTTTTTCAGAAAGTCCTGCTCAGCTCATGCTCTGGGGGGAGGTCATGTGAGCCATATGGTCAGGGCAGAGCCTCTGGAGGTCATAGTGAAGCAGCTGAACTAGAGTAGACTCTAGGTTGTAGGGCTCTCTGGGAGTTTGAACTTGGTTAGCTTGTTTCCAGGGACTCCTGTATTGACCAGTTTTTAAACCACCCAGAAACAAAAGAAAGAGCCCTGAACAGATAACCTATTCTTACCTCTACTTCTTCAGAGAACCAGGGCTCATGGCTCAGTAGGGTTTGAGGGCTCAATAAGGTTTACCAGCCTTTGAGTTTGGGTATCATATGATGAGCTCAGGAGTTATAATCTATCTTTAAAGGTGGCCTTAGAAATTAAAGATGCAATGGGAATGAGTGTTATTCTAGACACAGTGATCTCTGTGCACGTATTTTAAAACATGAAACCCTATCAAATCAGAAACACTTCTGATCCCAAATATTTAGGATAAGGAACACTCGTACAGATCCATAGGTTTTAAATGGACATATTAAATTGGAGTCTGTATTTTCAATGGTAACCAAGGAGGGTTTTAAGTGATCGTGTCCACATCAGTTGAACCATCGCACTATGAAATCTTAGTTCCAAAATTTAAAAGTTTTAGAAGCATATGCTGTACTTACAACAAATGAAATTTATTTTTTTCCCTTTGTATTTTTTCCCCTTTGTCCTTGTATTTATATTTTCGTTCCATCTCTGACACTTAATTCTGTTTACTTTCTCTCCTCCCTTAATTTTTTCACTGCTTTCTGCTTTTTTTCATGTACCCATAAGTTACTAACTGCCATTTTCTCTATTCTGACTTAACCTTGAACTTGGAACTTTGTTTCTAGGTTTCCTCTTTCCCTACTATGTAAAGTCCTTACTCTTCAGCAAAGTTCATTTTCTTACTCATATCAAGTTCATTTTCTTACTCATATCATTCTTGTCTTTCAATGTCAGGATTAGAAAACAGTGATCAGTTTGATGAGGAACTTTATTCTTGTTTAAAGGTTGATTTTCTTAAGAATGCTCACTCTTACCAGTCTTCTTGTTGTTGTTTTTCTTTCCTCCTAGGGAAGAAGAAGAACGTTTGAGAAATAAAATTCGAGCAGACCATGAGAAGGCCCTGGAAGAAGCAAAAGAAAAATTAAGGAAGTCAAAAGAGGAAATACGTGCAGAAATTCAGACAGAGAAAAACAAGGTAGCTCAAGAAATGAAGATAAAAGAGAACAAGCCTCTGCCACCAGTCCCTATTCCAAACCTTGTAGGAATCAGTGGTGGAGAACCAGAAGATAGTGACATAAGAAAGAAAAGGGAAAAAATTAAAGAGGTAATAAGCTGAGATTTGTGACATGGACTGGTTATGGACATGTGTTTACCGGGCTGGTTACAGAAGTGTGTGGATATAAATATATATATTTATACCATCTGTGTTGCCATATTTTGATATTTTTTGTTCTTGGGTCATAGTTGTATTTCAGTTTCTAGGTTGGCAGTAAAGACTAGAGCTCTGTCTCTTTCTTAGTGTTGATTGTAATATAATTATGTACAATAACAAATTTGATACAAGGTTGTTGTTTTCTTTTTTTTTTTTTTTTGGTACAAGGGATTGAACTCAGGGGTACCACTGAGCCACATCCCCAGTCTTGGGGTTTGTATTTTATTTAGATCCAGGGTCTCATTGAATTGCTTAGCTAATGTCTTGCTGTTGCTGAGGCTGGCTTTGAACTCCTGCTCCTTCTGTCTCTACCTCCCGAACTGGGGGGATTATAGGCATGTGCCTCCGTGCCTGGCACAAGGTTGTTTTGATGGTTTTAGCATTCTCATTGTGTTCAGATATCTTATGAAATTTAGCATTTTATAAATAATATAGAATAGAATCCATTTATAATTTTTCTACAGCATAATCAATTTTAAGTCTTTAGTTATTAAGAATCTTTGCTTGTGCAAATCTTTTCATAAACAAGTAAGCATAATATCAACTATTTTTAAGGCGTTATTATGGTACCTCTAAACTGTACTACACATTAAGAACATATTTCTTCCACAGAGTCTCTATGAATTGAAGAATGGGGAAAGATTTATCTAAAAATTTTTTATATTTATTTAGTCTCAGGGGCCTTTAATTCAACCTATTATTCTAGGACTTACTTACAGATAAAAGAGAGTAACTGAGGGAGGAAAATCCAGTATATTTGAGATGAACTTTGTTGGTTAGAACTTATGATAATTTTGCATGGAGTTTGTACTTGTACAGCCTCTGAAGGAAAAGATTTTGTCAGAATATGATAGTATGGACAATATTTCAGAAAGCTTATTTATCTTAAAATAAAGCATTTAATTTAAATGGCCAAATATCTATTTGCATATATTCTAGTAATGGATATAAAAGGTTTATTAGATATTTTAAAGTTGGACTTATAAATTATTATAAAACCTGGACCTTGATGGAGTGAAAATAGAGCTGTACTCTAATTTTTACCTTATCTTTAGAGGTTTTGTTTTATATACAGAGACTGCTTAAGATACTTTCTTTGACAGTGTTGGAGGGAAGAACAGTGATAGATTTTTTTTTAGATGCCACTACAATTTTTTGAAATAACTTTTCATATATATACTAATTTCAGATAAATAACCATGTGTGTTCAGGGGACCCCCAAGGTGACCCTGAGGCTCAGTGAATTGCTAGAAATACAAACAGAATTCATTTTACAGAAATATAACTGATTTTAGTTTGCTGAACTTGTAGCCTGTTAACTTTGCTAAGATCATTTACTGATTCTAGTGGCTCTTTTGTAGATTGCTTAGGATTTTCCTTCTACATAGACATGTCCTATAGGAATAGAAGTACGTTCCCTTTTTCCTTATTTCTCTTTCTTGTCTTTATTGTACTGGCAAGGCCTTCCAGTACATTGTTTGAAAGAAATGCTGAGAAAGAACAAACTTGATTTGTTCCTAACTACAGGTTTAATCATTTAGGGTTTTATTATTACATATGTTGTGTTAGCAGTAGGTTTTTTTGAAGATGCTTTTGTTAGGTTGAAGATGTTTCCTTGTAGTTACAGCTTACTAAATTTCTGTTGTGAATGAGTGTTGAATTTTGTCAAATAGTCTGTATTTTTGTCTATACAGAAATGATCACAATTCCCCCACCCTTTATTTTGTTAATATGGTGAATTATATTAACTATTTTTTTAGTTAAATTAGTCTTCTAGTCTTGGGTTAAACTCTACTTGCTCACGGTATGGTATTTTCCTTATCTATTGCTAATTTTTTAAAAGAATTTTTTTTCTGTGTTTGTGAAATATATTGCCCCAGAGTATATTTCTTATAAAGTCTTTGTCTATTTTAGATGTATGAGCATGCTGCCTGCATTAAACAAATTGGAAAATGTTTTAATGAATAGTATGCTATTAAATGAATAGATTTTTGATACACCATAGCTAGTATTATATAATTCTGCTGATATATAATTAAATACTTTGTTACCAAATTTCTTGAGTTGTAAGAAACTCAGTTCAAACTAACTCATATAAAAATGTTTACTAGCCTAATGAATTTAAACTATGGATTTAGAATTGACTCAATCTAAGTATGTAGATATAATTGTCAGTAGTATGCATTTATCTCTATTTCCTTTTGCTATCTAGTTTTTCCATGATAGGAGAGCTAGTCATTTTCAGCTCCAGGATTCTATATTATATAGGCCTTGTGATCACAAAATGAAAGTCTCCCTGTTTCCCAGTGTCTATAATAGTATGTTTAAAAAGGATATGATTGTCCCTACTTAAGTCACATAACCCAGTCACTCTGTCTAAGGATTGGCAAACTATAACATGTGTGCCAAATTCTAAAAAGCTGCTTGTTTTTGTTTTTTAAACAAACTGTGTTGTTTTGGTTATATATTATCTAGTACTGCTTTTGTGCTACCTCAGCAGAGTAAAGTTTTCTGACTTCTGATTGAAGGGTAAGAAATTTTCTCGCCATGCTGCATTAATTAGAGATAGAAGCAAAGCCCTGTGATTGACACCACTGATACAATCACAATGAGGGCAGGGTAGCTGTTCTCAAAAGGATTGGCAGTTCTTAAAAGTAAAGAATGCCAAACACCTTGCTCCTCAAGAAAAATTGTTGATTACACATAATTTTTTTCTGTTACATAGATTAACATAGTTATGTATAGATTGAGATTAACATAGTTATGAGTTTTTTCACACTGATACAAGTGTTAATTGAATCATATGCTTATGTAGGGAGACCTAGAAGAATGTATAAGAATATGGTAATAGAACCCTGAATTACATGAAATATAAAAATAATGGTCTGCAAATATTTTAATTTGATGAATTATAATTTTTTCTTCTCAGATGATGAAACATGCCTGGGATAATTATAGGACATATGGATGGGGTCATAACGAACTCAGACCTATTGCAAGGAAAGGACACTCCACTAACATATTTGGTAAATTTACTTTTCTCTAATTAACTGTTTCCATTCTCTGTTTCCATATTTTAAAACAAGATTAATTTTTTTAAAAGTACTTTGTAAAATCTGAGTGTTTCTGTGGAACTGTGAACGTATATTTTTTTGCAAGCATGTCAAGATTTAGTTCTAGTTACTTTGGAATGCTTTGTATTCCAAATACTATTTGTAGTTTTTCTTCTTCAACACAATACCATTTGCGTATGTAGAGGAAGAGGGAAGAGATAGGAAATTCCGTTAGTACTATATACATTGAAAAAAATAAAAGCAATACATCCAGGCTTGGTTGGTAAATTGAGTTATGTTGTAAATCTATAATTCTTAAGGAAAAATTAACAGTTTGTGTGTTAATGGAGGTTTGAGGAAGAGTTGTATTAATCTTGAGTTTTGTTTTTCCTACCTCTTTTTAGCTCAGTTCACTTGTTGAACTTTTCTGTTTGTTGGTTATCCAATTTGACTGAACAGGTTTTATTAAACTCAAGTTTAAGTCTTGAGAATTGTTGATCTACTCCTTTTTGCCTTTACTCCTTACCCCCATTTTAAATGCTTTTTGATGTGATGGATTTTTTTTTTTTAAACAATGATAGGTGAAGGCAAGAAAATTTTAATGGGGATTAGAAGGTACTATACTTCTATATTGGTCACATGCAATGAAGTTTCTTTATTAATCAAAGTATATCTTCACAATAATTCAAATGACAGTATTTTTCCTTGTGACACTATGAAAACATTTTTCTTTTTTTATTCCTGAGATTTTTTATTTTTATTTGTTCTTTTTGGTTATATGTGATAGTAGAGTATATTTTGAAGTATTTATACAAACATGGACTACTTCTTATTCTAATTAGAATCCCAGTCTTGTGATTGCACATGATGTGGAGATTCACTGTAGTGTAGTTATATATATACATAGGAAAGTTAAGTCAGATTTATTCCACTGTCTTTTCTATTCCTGTTCCCCCTCCTTCCCTTCATTCTGCTTTATCTAATATACTGAATTTCTGTTCTTCCCCTCTCCCCCTTGTTGTTTGTTAACATCTACATATCAGAGAGAACATTTGACCTTGGGGTTTGGGGATTGGCTTAATAGTCTCCAGATCCATCCATTTTCTGTTAAATGTCATAAAGTTATTTTTTTTTTTATGGAAACATTTTTTTCTAATGCTGTAATTTGCCTCATAATGTGTGTGTGTATGTGTGTGTGTGTGTGAGAATTACTGGGGATTGAACTCAGGAGAATTCAACCCCTGAGCTACATCCCAAATCCTTTTTTGTTTTTGTTTTTGAAACAAAGAACTTTGGTCTTGCTAAGTTGCTTAAGTCAGGGTTCAAACTTGGGATTCCCCAGCCTCAGTCTCACAGTAACTGAGATTATAGTTGTGCATCATTGTCATTGCTCGTCATCATGTAACTTGTTTTCTGTCAAAAATAAAATGTCTTAAAAATTAATTTTCCCTGGCTTTGAGAGATGATGTGGTAGAAGAGGAAAAAAAATTCTCCTTTATGTAGATAATCAGTAACTACCAAGAATCTGATACTATATTTAATTTGATAGCTGTCATTTAATGAAATAAAGTATATTTCCTTTGCAGAGGTTACGCGTTGAGAAGTTCCCATTGCTTTGTAGATATCAGAAAATGAGACATTAATGTAAAAAAATACATTATACTTACTGGTTAATTAAGTTAAATTCTTCCCTCAAGTATCCCTTTATAATAAGTTCAGTGGTTAATTGAGCCTTTTTAAAGGATTGGAGTTTAAACATGAATTGAAAATAAGAAGTAAATGTTGATTTTCTACTTTCTTCAAACTATATTTCTTAGTACATCTGTTGTATTTTCATGTATCTAATAGGTACTGGTTCTGATATTTTAAAGAAAGAGAAATATTAATCTTATCTCATGGAAAACATATATTGTGTGAAGAAAATTTACAGTGAAATGGTGGAAAAAGCAAAACCACAGTCTGCAGAATTTTCAGTAGTCAAAATTAGGTGTTTTGTCTTTTTAAAACTTTTTTAGTGCTTAATTTTTTTCCAGCCAAATAAGCTAAATGGGAACAGATCCTTGATTATGATCAGTCTTTTGTATGTAGTTGGTTTATTAAAGGATACATTTTTAAAGTTTAAAACTTTGTTTCCTACTTTGTTCCTTCTGCTTATCTCATATTCTCAGTGGTTTGAGAATTTTTATACATCTGTTTTTTTACCCTCCCCCCTTTTAATAAAAAGCCTTAAGGGAAGTGTAGAACTTCTCTGTGCCTCATTTGACATACCCAATTCAGTATACCTGTATTGAACCAGAATCTTAAAAGTTAGCAGAAACTTGTAAAAGTCCATCTTCTATAACATAGGAACATATAAATGGATATGGAAATTTTATTTTAGGCTACAGGGGAAAAATTGACCAAAAACAGGTTCTTTTTCCTAGCTTTGATTATTAAACAATTCTTTCATATTAGTAACTGAAATTAGTGTTCCTCTGACTTCTGTGTAATTCATCCTTGGCATCAGAAGATTCTTTATGTGGAGATAATTGAAAATGCATATCAGAATGACTTAAATTAAAAAGGAAATGCAGTCAATTCAATGAAGTCCTGAAACAGACTTGATTCCAACTAAACTTTTTTTCTTTAACTCTTTCTTTTATTTATCTCTTTGTGTTCATATCTTTACCTGGCTTATTAGCGGGATGGTTGCAGCATTTGAAATTTCATGTCTTCATAGTGCTCCATCTGTGGAAAAGAGAACACTGTAGACAAGAAATAGTTTGGTTTCTTAGATGTTTCAGTGAAAGATTCATTGTTTCATGCTTTTTTTAAAATTGGATCTTGTGCCCATGGTTGAACCATGTGCTATACCTAAAAGGTAAAATATGTTCATTTGGTTTTGCCCAAATAGGACCTGCCCTTGAGGCACATGACTGAGGAGAGTTAGTACTGATACTAATTATTAAACCAGTGATAAGTAGAATGAATTCTTAGTTTTGTTAGGGAAGGGTCTTTTTTGCACATAAAAAAGGAATTTTGAATTGGAAAAGAGTATTCTTTGACTTTGTAATGCTTTTTGAAAGGTACTTTTTATTTTTCATGTGCATTTATGTAGGTATTTAATTAAATTATTTTCATTATTTCTAACTTAACTAGGGTTTGATTTGCTAATATAGTGATGATTTTGGCTTTCTTGTTTTAGAGGGATATTGGTTTGTATTTTTCTTGAAGCGTCTTTGTCTTGCTTTGGTATCAGGTTAATACTGGTCTTATAAAAGAACCAGTATGAAACTGTGAAGTACTTACAGTAATCAAAATAATTTTTAAAAAAAGAAGAGCAGAGCTGAAGAATTTATATCACTTGATTTTATGATTGGCTGTAGAATTCTCATAATGAGGACAGTAGGGTTTTAGTCTAATGTAAACAAAGAGATCAGTGAAACTGATCAACATACATTGTTAAGTGATTTTCAACAAAAATGATAATTCAGTGGGCAAAAGGATAGTCTTTCCCACAAATGGTGCTGGATCAACTTGAGGTGTACTTGGAAAAGTAATGAAATTTGACTCTTAAACATTGTAGAAAACATTGTAGAAAACATATGAGAAAACCTTTGTGACCTTTAAGTAAGTAACTTTTTTTTTCTTTTTAGAATATAGAATACATTAACTATAAAATTGGAGAGGTATTGGGAACTGAATTAGAACAAATTATATTCCATGCTTTTATAGTTATGTCAAAATGAATCCTATTGTTATGTATACTTAAAACAACAAGTAAAAACATAAAATTCATACCACAAAATAATATCTCCACATATCCATTAAAATGTCTGAAATTTGAAAGACCCAACAGTACCAAATATTGACAAGGATGGTGGAACAACTGGAACTGTCATATTGCTGCTAGGGGTATAAAATTGTGCACTCTGGAAAGCAGTTTGTTAGTTTCTTATAAAGTTAGACTTACCATATTGCCCAACAATTTGACTCCTCACTGTTTTCATCATACAATGAAATCAGATAGTTACTTTATTTTCTTTTTTTTAAAAATTTTAATCTTATTCTGTAAACATTTTATGAAAATAAAATATACAGACCAAAAGCACACAAACCACAAATGTGTACAAGCTAATTTAACAAACAGGAAGAGTCAGCAATTTACACTGCTATAGAAATAGATCACTATCAGTATCTAAAAGCCTACATCCCAGTCACCATTTCCTAAAAAATGGTTATGATTATTCTGACATCTCATTCCATGTATTTTGCCACTTAGTGACATTTCCTTAATAGAATCATGTTGTGCCAATATTGATCTGCACTTTAATTATTCTGCTGAAAAATTGTATTTTTGAAATTTATCTATTTTTATGAGTAGTAACTTTTTTCATTATATTTGCATTTCAAAACATTAGCTGTTATAAGTAATGCTGCTATGAACATACTTGTACATGTTTATTTTTTTTCCATTTTTTAAAATTTTTATTATTAGTTGTTCAAAACATTACATAGCTCTTGACATATCATATTTCATACATTTGATTCAAGTGGGTTATGAACTCCCATTTTTACCCCGTATACAGAATCACATCGGTTACACATCCATGTTTTTACATACTGCCATACTAGTGTCTGTTGTATTCTGTTGCCTTTCCTATCCTCTACTATCCCCCCTCCCCTCCCCTCCCATCTTCTCTCTCTACCCCATCTACTGTACTTCATTTCTCTCCCTTGTTTTTTTTTTTTTTCCCTTTCCCCTCACTTCCTCTTATATGTAATTTTGTATAACTCTGAGGGTCTCCTTCCATTTCCATGCAATTTCCCTTCTCTCTCCCTTTCCCTCCCACCTCTCATCCCTGTTTAATGTTAATCTTCTTCTCATGCTCTTCCTCCCTGCTCTGTTCTTAGTTGTTCTCCTTATATCAAAGAAGACATTTGGCATTTGTTTTTTAGGGATTGGCTAGCTTCACTTAGCATAATCTGCTCTA